AATACATCCGATTTTAATATGGGCTGCCATAAATTTAGTTCGTCCATGTTAATACACGGACTAATTTGTACGCAAATTCTACAACTGCGGAGTCACTAATGTGTAGATATACATAAGTTACTTGTAATTGTTACATCAGCAAAATAATTATGCGAACTAGAAAAAGTTTCTTTCATAGCCCTGCGGCGAAGAACACAATAGCTTAAACAAATTAAAGAGGAAACTTACTTTCTGAAAATTAACAAGACATGCTGAGTTTTTCTAAGGAGTATAATATATTGCCACACACCGTAGTCCACAATGTGTAAAACATTAGTCAATTAGTCATCCCGACTAGTTATATGCTCAGCAGCCAAGTCACACAGAATGGCATATCACCAGCACTCACAATCATTAACATATCATAAATAATACACGTCCTGACATTGGTCTGTGGCGTCACCGAACACCCCGATGAGCCATCCTCCCACATGGCCATCCTCTCAAAAGTGCTACACCGGGAGCCGGTACTGCCCCATCACATGGCCGACCGGTCTAATCCTCACCTGCACCAGCTCTCATGCAATTGTTTTCCCCATTCTCATCTTTTCTTTTCCATACATTCAAGAGGCCACCCTGGTGGTTAACGGTTAAACGTACGTAACGGTAGGTACAGGGGCCCGATCTCCCCATACAGTTTTTTTTGGGGCGGGACCGGGGTGGGGACCCCCATTCCTATTTTTTCACGCCTTCATGGTGACCCACTTCATCCCATTCAACACATACCAATGCATTAGCATATATTCACAACTTACAATTAACTCAAGCATTGCATTACAATAGCGAAGCATGTTAATCAATTAAACTTCGTAATGCATATGCACAATCTTAGACATCCAAAATCAAATGCAAATAAGATAAATAAATAACAGTAACAATAACAACAATAATAAAATAGAATTAATTCAATAATAAACAATAATAATGCAAAATAAATAAAATAAATAATGGAATAATTAAATGTTCAATAATGATAATAAAATTAATTAGCAGCACTTTATTTTATATGTATCAATTATAGAATTATTAGGTCTCTATCGAAATTTCGGCAGACATCCCCGTAGAAATCTGACTATCTACATAAATATGACTATCTACCTATTTAAATATCACAATAAAATTATATATTTATCAATCAATACACACAGCCCATCCGTCGGGCAACTCACAACAACTCATCCCGTCCGCCATAACCTTATTTATCAATCATTCGATTACTCAATTCACACAGCCCATTCATCGGGCAGTCAATTGAATCAACCCATTCGCTTCAGGCTACATTGTCATCCATCACACTCACATTTATACACTTAATAATTCCAAATCAATTAATTAACAGTTTATATTAACCTCCAAGCATGATCCAATGATATTATTAATTGCTCTATAATTATTTACTTGTCTAAGCCTTAAATTATAACTCTCCCCTATCAATATTTATTAAAATTCCTATAAGATTGTTTAGCATCAATTTATTACAGATGATTCTTAGCAAAATATAGTTTGAACTTGATTATTCATCAAATTCAATTTAACTTAACTAATAATTATTTAATTATAAATTTATACGAAAATGAGGAATTGTCTTAGACACTACCAATTGAGAATTCGGCTACGATTCCTGAATTCAGCGCGAAGAGAAGAGAATTCTGTCTCTCGGGCCTTCGCCGGCGTGTTCGCCGGTCAGGTCGCCAGACCGCGCCACCAGCCGCCGTGCTACCGGTTGCGCCGGAAGTGAAAGGTACGTTATGGCCAGAATCGACGGCAGGCCACTTCATGACACGCTTGTGTTACTGAGTCAAACCGACCGGCATATTCACCACCAGGAACTCACCATCCCCGGTAGCGCCAATTTGTTGCTAGGTCTATCGGTGCCCGTGGCGCCAAACAACGGCCGAACGAAGGCTTAAATTGGGCCGCCATCATGAAGTGGTTTCACCCCGCGGCGCCCAATCGTCAACACCAAAACCAAGGGATGGAAAACACGCGCAAGACCAAGAGGAGTCGATCGAAGGTCCTCTCGTCGGCTGTATCTGCCCGAAACGGCGAGAATCGCCGGAGAAGAGAAATCGGAGGGCAGCGTCACTTCGAGCATGATTCCTTTCGTTTCCGGCTTCTACTGCGTGAACGGAGACCATAGGTGGGTTCCTATCGTCGAGCACTTGCAGTTAGGGTGCTTGGTTGTCGGAATCTGTGGCTGATGGCCGGAAAACGCAGTGAATAAGGGAGGAGGAGGCTATCGCGTGACTGGAGAAGAACAAGGAGAAGAGAGGAAGATAAAGAAACCAAGTCGGTTTCTAGATCATTCTGGTTCGATTCGAGCCGGTTTGATCTGATTCAACGGTTTGGCTTGATTTTTGCTCTATTTGCAGGTTTTTCACTTGGTTTTCGGATTATTCATGTGGTTTTCGAAAAATCAATTTGAGTTTCGGGTCCGGTTCAATTTATTTTAATTATTTTAATTAGGTTTCATAACATTTCCTCCATTAACTTACTAAATTGAGTTTCGGGTCCGGTTCAATTTATTTTAATTATTTTAATTAGGTTTCATAACATTTCCTCCATTAACTAAATAAAAATAAAAATATAGTTACTAATCATAGTTGATTTTTAGGAAAATTAATTTATATATATATAAAATAGATTAATTGCTGGACTTTCATATTATTACTCAAAAATTTAACTGTTCTCATTCAAAATTTTCGACAATATATTTGGATTTGGGCTCAATTTGCAAAACTTGAAATCAAATTAAGATTGTTCACTATTTACGGTCCATACTGTCAAAAATTCAAATTTTTGATTTAATAAAATTCTATAGTTTTGAAAATAAAATTACGGGGTGTTTCATATATTTTGTACATAATAATAAAATTAACATTATATTATATAAGATAAACTCAAATATATAAATTTAATTTATTATTTAACTATTTAGCATAATATGATTGTAAATAATATAAATGATATAAATTTAATTTAATGATGAATGTCATAAATTAATTATGTAAAGTAAAAATAGTTTTTATTAACTTAAACTATTCACTATAAAAATATCTCTTGTTTGAAACAAATGAATTTCACAAAATTTTATGGAATGCATTTAAAAATTGTGTTTGAAATGAAAAATAATATAAGATTTCAATTCTATGAATTGTACATAATTACACCAAATTCTATAAAAATAGATGAGATTTGCAAATGAATTGCACAAAACTAAGCAATTCAACTTTTTATGATAAAACTACTCTTCTCTTTCCACAAAGTCATTGTTTCACGTATTTAACTTATTTATTTTATCAAACAATTTGAAAAAATTTATTTTTTTAGAAAAATATTTTCTTATTACATATATATAATATTCATTGGAGACTTTTATGATTGAAATAATACTATAAGGTACAAAGAGGACTTGAACTCAAGATCTCTCACTCTTCACATAAGCGAGAAGACTAACCAGACCACCACCTAATTGGCATTTTATATATTTATTTTGATAAAAATATGAAAAAGATTTATATAGCATGACAAAAATATAATTGGTGTTTGTTATTTATCTTTGTGAAATTATTATTTCAAGAATATTAAAAAACAAAAGCAAATAAATTTTCAATTATAAATTCATTCCATACTTAATTATATGAAATTCTAAAGTAAGCATACAAAACATGAAAATTCATTTATAAATGAATTCCATAGTTTTAATTCATTTATACCAAAAGGAATGGTAAAGTCAAAATATAAAATATAAAGTTAAATGATATCATCTTATTTTTGAAATATATAGCCGAACATAATAATATATAACGTTAAATTATATCTAATATAAAGTTCCTTTTACAAAGTAGGATATAATTTATAATTTTAAATATTAGGTAGAGATATTTTTATCTTCTGATAAAAACAAGCTATACATCTTCCTAAGTTAAGAAAATTTAGCTTTTTGAACTTATTTTTTAATAAAATAATTTTTTTCTTTATATTCAAATATAAACTGCTTATTTTAAAAGAAAAAACAAAACAGACTTATTTTTTTATCTGAATCAATAAGATCAGTGTCTAATAAGCTATAATAAACTCAAGCATAACACCTCTAAAAGTTCTTTAGATCAGCTATAATCAAAAGCAACCAATTTCAATTTTTCATAAGCTGTCCCTCTCATTTTATATACCCAATTACCGAAATAGTCTAACATTCCGCTATTAGAAGATTAAACGAAAAATGAAAACATAGGATGTTAATGACTACCGAAGTTCAATGTTTTTCTTCAGAAAATTATTTTTTACAAATAAGTTTTCAAAAACAATTAAAAATCTGAATTACAAATACTACAAAAAGATTAACAGTTGGGAGAGCGTCATTCATGTTCTAAAGAAATGTTCCCTAACTTAAGACTTCGTGGAGGTTAAGCCCGCTGAGATTGGATATACTAGCTCGCTGGCTCTCTCTTTCATTGAATGGTTCAGTCTAGTGCCAGAGTGAGGTTTCTGAAAAGACAGCTAGAAGGTTTTTCAATGGTCACTTGGGCTATAGGAGAGCTAGAAATCTAGCTAAATTCCAGAAGAAATGGCTGAGGCCGGTTCAAGTTTCGCAAATGGCGCTCTCTTTTATTTGGGTTCCAGAGGCTAATGAATCAACTTCAAGAGATGAGGCTCCCGTATGTAGTCCTAAAAAGGCGAATTTAAGTTGAAATTCGCCCCTTCCTAATTAGAAATGACGCTATAGGGAAGTGATGAAGTCATTTGAATTAAGAAAATACGTCATTTCGTCGTTCCTTCTGTTCTAATTGTTCAAATCCATAAGTTTAATTCTCAAAAATAAATTATTAAAAATACAACTTTCACCATAACTAGACATTTCGTCGCTGTCCCTGTGTGTAACTTAATTTTAATTTCAGTCTAGAATATTTTCTCGCGGCACCATAAATGGACATAGTTATAACAATACGGAGAGAAAGAAATCAAATTAACAGAATATTTTTTTTCAAATTAATTTAGTAATTATTTCATCACCTGAATTACACATTTTTCATGTCAAAGGAAACCAAAACCAAAACAACACAAATATACAAATTAAACCTTCAAGTGAGGATCAACCTCAATTCTTGCCACTCCCTCTTTTGCCTCTTTAGCCACCTCCACCTCTCCAACAACCAATTCACCCTCTTCTCCTCTCAGTAGCTTCTCCTCCTTTTCCTCATCCACATAGTTCGGATCCTTCTCATCAATCGCCGGCGGCGCCGCGTCCAGCTCGCTCTCCGCCATGTCCTCAGGTCCTTCCCACGTGTACTTTCCACCGTGTCCTGACTTGGGCGGCGGTTTCCGTATCCCACCGATCCCGTCAACCGGATGCCTGTCCATGCGGTGAACACCCTTGTCCATGAGCTTCTTTTCGACGTACTTGATAGTGTCTTTGTTGTGCGTATGTAGCTCTGTCTTTTCCACTCTTTTCCTTCCTTCTTCGTCATGGGACACTGCCCTTATCACCACCTTATCCTTCTTCTCGTCAATGGGTTTCATTTTCTCTAGTTCTTGTCACTGATCATCGATTTTGCGAGTTCTTGATGGGGCTGATAGGTTTTATATAGTAACAAGGATTTCGATTTTTTAATTCTGGAAGGCGCTAGATAATGGATTAGAGATAGCACAGAATAAGCTAGAACGTTCAGGGCATCCGGCACGTGGCTATCTAATTCTCTTTCCGTTTGCCCGCAACGTGGAGGGCATTTTCGTTTCTAGTATGTGTGAGAAGAAACGGATAATCTGTTGATTGGGCCAAATCAATTTGGGCCTTTGATTTAGGTGAGGTCGGGTGAGTAAGGTATGAAGTACACATTTCAGGAAAGAATACAAGTATAAATTTGCAAATTGCAAGGGCTCCGGATTTGAATAATAAAATAAATTATTGTTAATATCTTATTTTTTTTAGAACCACATGTTCAATAAAATTAAAATGTAATAATAGGATATGTATAAGCATACAACCATATTTCAGAAGTGAATGAACAAATTTTAAAGTTAAACTTTAAAATTATTATTATTATTACTAGTGTTAAAACTCTCACGATATGCGGAATAATATTAAATAATAAAATAAAATTTTATAACATTATTCAAAAATAACAAAATTGTATAATAAAATGATCGTGAAATGCATTAAAAAATTATATTTCATTGAGTTATGCTAAAAAAAAGTTCTAATGTTAAGATGTATTTCTTAAGTATTCAGCGAAACCTTTTACCAGGTATGCATTAACAAAAGCCATGCATGGTATGTCCTAAGGGTGTCAAAATGGGTGGCGTGTCAGGTTCGATACGGATTCGCTTAACACGCGATAAGATTATGGTCAACATGAACACGACCAATTTAATAATTGTGTTAAGTTTATCAATATGAACACGACACAAAAATTAGGCAAGTGATATGAACACGACACATTTAACACGCCTAATATTATAAATAGATTAAGTGGGTTGTGTTGATCTATATACAACCCGTATCACCCGCTTAATATCATAAACATGTCAAATGGGTCGTGTTAACTTGCATATGACCCACTTAACCTGCTTATAATATTTTTAAATTTTAATCTATTTAACTCCAATCATATTTAAAAATAGATTTTCATATACAAAATGCATAAATTCTTCAAGGTTCATAACTAAAATAAAAAAGTAATACAACAATAAAATTTAAATAGGTTTTAGTTGGAGTATTTATATCTAACATTAAGATTGGCTCTTTACTCTAAAATAAACGGGTCACTCGCCTAACCCGCGTGTCAATCTGTGATACGACATATTTATATTCGTGTCATAAATGGGTGCTCGTTTATGACAAGAACTTGTTTAACCTTAACCTTAACATTTATTTCATGTGCTAAGCGAATCGTGTTTGCGTGTCATAATCTATTTTAACACCCTAGTATGACCTGCATCAAAAAATGCACACACATTATTAGTATACTTTTCAATAGTGATAATAATTTTGAGAATTTAACTAATTATATTGAAATCATTATTAGGTATACTTTTCAATAGTGATAATAATTTTGAGAATTCTAATATTATTATGACGAAGAAAGAATTAATTTTCTTTATTTTATGTTTATATTTATTATAAATGATTGTTTATATTTAAAATCATCAATGTATTGTACTTATTTAGGTATAGTGTTTCGCTAAGCGTTATGTATGTTCCGTTACTTTTTTAAAAATTATTCGTATATGTCCTACTTTTTAAAAAATTATCGTATCGCGTATGTTCTCATATCTCGTGTCTTGTGTCTATGCAACTTAACTCTTAGTATATGAGACTACTCCATACACCAAGCTAATTAACCAAAATTTTTATTACCTCAAGGGTCAATTTTATCTTGAGATTTTGATGATTATGCAAAATAAATAAATTTAATATTCTGCTATGTATGTGCTAAAGTTATTTTATGCAGATTTTTAATATGAAAATTGCTAAAGAAATCAAGTTCTTACAATCTAAGATTCTTTGAAGACCTTGAAGACTTGTGAAGATCTTTTAGTGGTTAGTATCTTAGGAAATTAACGTAGGATAGAGAGAATATTCTTTTAGAAGCACAAAAATATTTTTATCTCTCTTAAAAATCATTTTAAGATATTTTTGCAAATTGCCTTAAAAAGAAAAGTCAAATCTTTGCTCTTTTAATTCCACTTACCTAAATAAAAAAGATTTTAGCAAAAAAATTATTTTTGGTAACAAATAAATAAGATTTACATACACTATCTTTTTATTTTCAAAAAGTCAAAGATATATTTTAAAGCAAAGGATCAACGTCTTTTATAACGAGATTTTTATTCCTCTTATAAAAATGTTTTTTCTTTCTTTGAAAATGTGAGGTTTTTGCAAGAGTAAGAGTCTATTGATTAAAAGTTTTAGATCTCTCAAAGCTCTCTCTTGAACCCCCCTTTATTTCTTTTCATCTATTTGCTTCAAGAGATATCTTTTTAAAAGAAAAGAAAACTGGTAACAATATCTTTTTAAAAGAAAAGAAAGTTCATAACTATTCTTAAGAAAGTTCAGAACTATTCTGAAGAATAGTTCTGAACTTTCTTAAGAATAGTTCTGAACTTTCTTTCTGTTTTCAAAATCTATTTTCTGTTCTTCCTGTGCTTATAATTGCATTTTTCTCTGTCTATATAGATTCTTGTAATCTGTTATAGGCTAGAGGCTTTTAAACGAAACACTTCTGTGTAACAACTTAGGTAAAAAGCTGTGTAGTAAAAGGTTATCAAACGACATTCTCTTTGTGTAGATTCTAATATCTTGATGTGAGTTTTTTGTTCTCTACAAAACAGAAAAGGTAGATGTTGACCAGAACCTTTAGAAATCTAGTGGGACAAAGGTTAGATCTAGGTATTGATATATTTCCTTGTAAAGCTAGTTTGTCTCTTACCCTTGAAAAGAGAAAACATAGTGGAGGATCTCAAGATGAGCCTTGGCGAGTGGATGTAGGCGAGTTGGTGCCGAACCACTATAAATCTCTGTGTTTATCTTCTTTTATTTTCTAAAGTATTGCTTGATTATATTTTGTTTACATAACTGTTAATCTTTTCAGAAATGCAAAGTTGTTAATGAGTTTCTGTTTTTAAACGTGAATAACTTTTATCTTTATGGAACATTAGAACTCTGGATTTTTGTACTGTGATTATACCAAGTTTTAATATGTCCTTTTATATTCAGTATAAATCACAATCTAAGTTATAATCATTTTTCTAATCTTGCAACAGCTTTGTGAGAAAGTTCTAAACTTAATAACTGACTCTCACAAATGCTTTCTATTTCCGCTGTAACAGAATTCTAATCTTTAGTTTTTGAAAGTCAAATTTTTAGAAAACCTAATTCACTCTCCCTCTTGGGTTGTGCCATACATAAGCTTTGTCTCTTGACTTACCAAAGCTTAACAGCTTAAGAGAAAAGATCCTATGACAGCCCCACTTCCTTTTATATCTTTAGAAGGTCAATCTATTTCTAGACAACCTCTGTTCAATGGTTTCAATTACTCTTACTGGAAAACCATGATGGAAAACTTTATAAAATCAGTTGATATGAACTACTAGAGAAACATCATTACTGGTCCTCATATTCTTATGAAAACTATTGAAAATATAAGAGTTCGAAGAACAAAAGAAGAGTATACTGATGCTGATTGAAATGACATTTCTATAAACACAAAAGCCATCAATATTCTTCACTGTGCATTAGATCCAACAGAATATATTAAAGTTTCTGGATGTAAGTTCACAACGAAAGTTTGGAAAAAACTCTGAGTTACCCGCGAGAGTACTGACCGAGTAAAGGAATCTAGAATTAATATCCTTTGGAGAGAATATGAAATGTTTGGTATGAAAGAAGAAGAGTCTATAGCTGAACTAAATTCCAGATTCACGAATATAGTTAATCCTTTGAGAACTCTTGGAATGGAAATTTCAGAAGATGAACTTGTTAATAAAATGCTTAGAATTATACCCAAAAATGGGATTCTATAGGAATTGTCATGAACTATAAGGAGACTCCAGTAACCTATGATTATTTGATGGGAGCTCTTATTTCAGAAGAGATGAAATCTTCTTTGACTGTAGAAGATAATAAAAAGAAAGAACTGGCTTTGAAAGTTGTTTCTAGTGAAGAAAGTTCTTATGATCTTGTAGAAGAGATGAAATCTTCTTTGACTGTAGAAGATAATAAAAAGAAAGAACTGGCTTTGAAAGTTGTTTCTAGTGAAGAAAGTTCTTATGATCTTGATAGAGATGATTTAGCTCGTGTTGCTAGAAAGTTCAAAAAGTTTTATAAGAAAAGTGGAAGGCCGCAGAAAAAGTTTGTCAAAAAAAATTTTTCACCTAAAAATAGCAACTTGCCTAAGAAAGAACCTTCTAAAGTGGTTTGTTATGAGTGTAACAAGCCCGGTCATATCAAGCCAAATTGTCCTAAGCTGAAAAAGAAGTCAAAGAAAGAAAAACTGAAGTAGGCATTTATAGCTGCATGGAGTGACTTAGATGATTCTAATTCTGAAAGTCAAAGTGACCATGAGGAAATTGCAAATATCTTTCTGATGGCCACTATCAGTTCTGACTCCAAAGAAATTAACACTCTGACTTCAACACAGAAAGCTGAAAGCAGCGAAGCAGATGCAACAGATCAAAAATAAGATGAAAGCGATGTAAGTATCTCTAAACCTGAATCTGTAAGTGATCTTCTAGATACTTATAATAACATTTGCATTGAATTTGAAAAGCTTGCTAAAAAGCATAAAGTTCTAAAGAAGAATTTTAGAAAGTTGAAACCTGAATGTAATCATTTGAAAGATGCTTTTTATCAAGAAGTTACATGCAAAGATCTTATTATAGAGATAATACATCTGAAAGAATGTAATGAGAAAATTTATGAAAATCTAAAACACTTTGAAGAAAAATGTAAAAGTTTGAATTCTAAAAATGAATCTTTGAAAATGAGATTAGAATTTTAAAGTCAACTTCAGAATCATTTTCTAAAGAAAAGACAAGTTCTAGATATGATAGCATTTCAAGACAAAATCATGTTTCCATTAAGAAAAATGCTATTTCTAATGTTATGAC